TTTTGAAAGTGATGAGGCTAATTCGTTAGCCTCAATTGTCCCTCGCAGTTCAATCACTCCTACTGAGTTTACTGGGCGGCGCTCAGCCTGTCATTCGTATTATGAACAAAATAGCCTGGGGTCCCCAGGTAACTACTGAGTCTATTGAGTCAGCTAAGACGTTGCCGAACATTTCATTTTAAAGCCGTATTGATTTTTTATACGCATACTAAAAATCAAATGCATAACTAAAACAGAAATGAAATTACAGAATTTGTTTTCTCAAAAAACGAACTTTTAGGGGTGTTTCTAATGACCCAGACCAGCATGCAAGGACAAAAGAAAATCGCGATTATTTAGGCCAAAAATCGCGGCGCCGCGACATGCCAAACTAAACAAAATCATGGCGAAAATCTCGAAAAAGGCGGCGAAAGATAATGTATTTGCAAAGCAAAGTTAGATGTCATATATTCGTTGACTATCTCGTTAGTCTAGTAAGATTAGCTATAAATACTGAGCACTAGCAGAGCTTGTTTTTAGAGCAGCCCTTCCAAACGATCTCGAAAGTTCCTCCCAGCTCGCCAGAACGGAACTCGATGTTCCACTTCGAATCTGTACTCATATACATAATATTAGTAGTTAACTTGTGTTAATACTTTACCATACTACACGTAATCAAACAAATAAACCCTGTTTACAATGAGATAACATCACGTGGGCGTCACGTGTTTTGATAACAAAGCTAGAGACTAAGGGGTAAGGAGCACACTGCTTTTCATGTGTTTTATAGACTGACCATGAGTTCCTTTTCACAAATTGTATTACTAGTCTTCTTCACTATAATTCTAAAGTATAAAGCAGACACTTCTGATCAAGGACAAAAGAAAATCACGATTACTTAGGCCAAAAATCAAGGCGCCAAAAAAGGAGGGTCCTAATTCCAAAGATTTTTAATTTCAAAACATTTTCGGGGCAAGGACAAAAGGAAATTGCAGCATGTGAGGAATCTCGATTTTTCACGTTTGCCGCAACAAATCACGATTTTTTTCAGATCCTGGCTTCGCGTCAAATCGCGATTTTTTCAGTTCTCCTCGACAAATTGCATATCTTTTTTTTGAAGAATCAATAAGATCAAAACCAAATTCGCCTATTTTCCTTCAAATCTGCGGGCCAAATATCACGTTTTCTATAAAGCTATAAGTATTAATATGAAACCAATCACATCCACAGCCTTCCGAATGTACTGTAGGTACGGACTTCAGAAAACCGAACAAATATTTTCGGCATCATAATGGGTAGCATGAAACATGAACAAAAGTACATAGTTTCCAGAAAAACTTTGAAAAATTTTGACTTAGAAAATTTTCGGTAAAAAAACCGAAAACGTTTTTTTCCCAAAACTTTTTAGAAACCTAAATTAAAAAGTTGGCCCTTTTTGGCCCCTTGACCTGATTTTATGGGGGGGGGGGGGGGGGCCGGGGGGGGGGGGGGGGGGGGGGGGGCCGGGGGGTGGGGGCGATGGCCCCATGCCCCCCTGCTTCCTACACCCCTGAAATTTCCACACTACTATAAGCTATAGAAGTTGGGCTCTTATTATTGCATAAGTTTAACAGTAATTTACTTTTAGGGCATGGTGCCAAATAGATGCCGCAAATTTCTCAATTTAATTCGGCAAGTGCCAAATATTGCACATGATAGTGCCGCAAGTACTGCATAGTAGTGCTGCAAGTGCCGCAAGTGCAGCATATACATAATAAGTATTATTACTGTTAGGGCTCTCATTAACAAAATTATGTTTAATTCCTGTTTAATTCCTATACTTGACATAGGGTTAAATAATGCTCCCCTGCGGCGATATCGATCTCAAATATGAAACATGGCTTATTGGCTATGTTATAAAACCCAACGTGAGTGTACTGACTTTTGAAAAAATTTAATTTTCAGAGGTCTGCACACCTAATCAACAGTGCATTGCTTATAGTTATATTACACTTACATATTCGTGTTTTCGAACATGCTAAAAACTCTATTCTCTACGTTTGAAATTGACTTACCGCTGGCCGAGATCAATACAAGAAGAGTGAGAGAAAAGAAAAGTGTCATCTTGATTTCTTCCCTATTCTTCTTTTGCAATAATTTCCTAATCGGAGTGAGTCTTTAAGAGTTAATTTATTTTTAACCGAGTAAATAAACTGACAGTAATGGTTAATCCTAAACCGGAAAATTTATTTTAAACAATAACATTGCCATAATGAAAATTGATCTACTCGAAATTGTGCTCTACGTGCAGCTAGCAGCGGGAAATAACAATGATAATGATCACAAGACATCTCTTTTTTGTAATCCTTGTGTATCATCAAGCGCTGTCTATTTGTTAATAATCTAACTTGTACACGTATAACTTGAATAACTTTCTATAGACTAGTATATTGTCTTTCACTGAGAGTGAGATTAAGCTGTCTATTCAAGATGTGTAAATCTATAGAATTACCCTCGTAGAAGGTTTAACTATAAGATGGACAGGATCACTGGGGCAAATTATTCAATAATATAAATATAACAATATAATGTTCCAACATATTATGTGTATATTAATATTTAAATAAATATAAGCTTACATGTGCGTACTGCGTAACCAGAAGTGATCCAGCTTGAAATGTTATTCATTTGCCAAGATTCACCTCTTTTCTTTAAACAAAATCAAATATCAATATTATTAAAAGTCAAGTCTGTCGATGCATTATCAACTTCAACTTGCTATCTTATGATAATCACAGTGCTGGCAAGCATGACCGCCGCCATTATACTCACTATACTATTTACCTCCTATACTATATACCCCTTTACTGTTTTTCATGCATTATAAGACTCACCGAATGTAGTTCAGCAAGAATATTTTAAGTTCAAAACATTACAATTCAATGTCAAAGATGACAGGAATAAGAAATAGTTATGTGGAGATCTTTAAGAAATTTGCATAAAATACGCGCCAGTACTGTTATTAAGTTATACGAAATTCGGTAAAAAACCCAAAATCGCCATATTCAGGTGCGTTAAAAACCATGTTAAAATTGGGAGTATCGGGAAGTGGGTTTTCTGGAACCCCTGTTTTACAACAGATTGTCGTGAAGTATATACAGGGTGAGTTGAAAATGAAAATAGTGTGTGGAATGTAAATAGCTTTAATTTTTTTGACAAATGAAATTTCTACCTAATTTTTGCATATTTGGGTAATGAAAATATATAAATATTATAATAATACAATAAAAATACTTAATAATTAATAATTTGCTCAACCCATCGTCCTTTATTAGCTAGGACATGTTGATAACACGTGTAAGACAATTGTCTATAGCCGACTTGACTGTATTAAGTTTGATCTTTCTCGCTTCCCTTCTGATGTTTTCTTTTAGCTCCTCTGTTGTTTTGGGAGTGGGGTTAGTGTAAACCTTACTCTTAAGGTACCCCCAGAGGTAGAAATCACAAGGGTTGAGATCAGGCGAGTATGGTGCTATGGTAGCCACAGAAAGTCAGCATTCCGAGAAATGATGCTATCCTGAAATCGAGTACTCAGCCATTCCATACTTTCTTTGCTACAATGGGGTGGCGCCCAATCTTGCTGCTTGCATAAACCAACAATTTTTAAGGCTTTCTTCCTTTTTAGTGTACAAACTTAAAGTACAAACTTCTTCTTCAGCATTTCAATATAATTAGCCGAACTAATAGAAATTCACCTTTCAAAATTTGCTCCTTCATAAAAATAATTATCGAATTTTAGTTTTACATTCCACACACTATTTTCAACTCACCCTGTATATATAAAATATCGATTTTTGTCGTGGTTTTTTTAAAAGGGTGAATGTTTAAAAAAATTTTCGAGATAATGGCCCCTAAAGGTTAACATTGGCCCTTTTATGTAACCAATTTTCTGAAATGTTTTAGGGCGAATGTGTGACATTGTATAGTAGGACAGGGGTACTATTGGTGGTTTTAATGTTTGAGATATTTAAAAATATGTAAAAGATTACGGAGATTTCGTGCCATTTGTGGTGTCGTACGGTCTCTTTAAATTTCTTGTAAGACTAGAATGCCTGTTGTCACAAAAAAGGACCATCCTTGAAAGTCAGTTTTTTACCACATGCCCATCTAAAAATATACATTCAAACCGAAGATAAAGTATATTTGAATAAAATACACACTGAAACAGAAAACAACAAAATTACAACAAAACAGATCATAATGTGGCTGCAATAATGCGGTCACATGCACATTGCACAGGTCTTTAATTAATGCGGGAGACTCTAATTTGGCGTAAAATCAGAAGCTTTGTACTTACCTGCATCCTCACTCGGAATAGAAGCTGATGTGCACTTGAGATAAACATCAAGGAAAACACCCAAAGCAATGTATAAGTGCCACTCTAATGTGAATATACGTTATAATATTTTCCGGTTCCGATTGGAAGGGGTATAACTATAATCCGATACGTGCGCATGATACAATATAGTGTCTAATATATAGAACGCCAGTGTTATTTGTTTTACAACTTGCCGCCAGCCAGTCTGAGGTCTATGCTGATAATAGTAATACCTTCGCTTCCCTTGCGGGATATATCGGCAAATTATCAGCTCTCAGTGTCCGAGACTTTTAGTGGATATAACATATTATACCTTATCGGACCTTATTTAGACGCGGACGGACATTAATTGAACGCTGGAGGCCCTTGCCCCTTACGTTCATCTTAATGTCCGTTCAAATAAAGTCCGTTCATTTAAGGTCCGTCCAAGTTAAAGTTCGTTGAATTTTTTTCAAACATTTTTCCACTTTGAACTTTTTGTCCAGAATATGACAACTATGAGAACTTTATTGTGCCTTACGTTAACGAAGGAAAGGTTCTCCTTGGACCTTGGTCTGCCAGAGGCACAGAAAACTCTACTAGTATATGAGGTTTTGAAGGGTCACTTGGCGGAAAAAGTCAACGGAATTATGGCACTCAACAACATAGTTCATGAGTTAGTCCCCGCCAACATGACAAACTTTTTCCAGCCTCTAGATATTACGGTAAATCGTGTTGCCAAGGACATTGTCCGACGTTGTTATAGTTCATATTACTCAGGGGAGGTAATGAAACAGTGCTAGAAAAACTCCAAGCGATTAAGGTTAACCTTAAGTTGTTTAAGATAAAACCACTTCACGCCGAATGGCTTGTAAAAGTTAACACTGAAATGCAGGACCGGGGTAGTTTGATAAAAAAGGTTTCCATAAAGCTAGAAATCACTGATACTTCAAGAATGGACTATTTCATGCACGAAAACCCATTTGATGAAGATGATATGTGATAATAGACACTGATCATCAACCTACGGAAGTGACTCTGATATCGTCACCACAGTGATTAAGTATGAGGAGAACTTAAAGAAGACCAGAAGTTTTTGTAACCTGAGTGACTCAAAACAACAGAGTAACACCCTTGAAGAAAAGAAGAATGGCAAAACGTTCTTCCAGTTTGTCAAGAAAACAGGAAGCAACCTCAAAAGTCGGTTGGTTAAGGTGAAAGACATAGCTCCGGGGAATAAGCATGGTCAAACAAAACCGTGTAGAAAGAAGAACTGTGCAACGTGTGAGTCTATTGATAGTGCTACACAAATCAGCATCAATGGGAAACGGGTAAAACCAGCACCAGGTACATGCATCACTTACAACATCATATATTTGATCAGATGTAAACTGTGTGAGAAACCATACGTAGGCAAATCCACCAGAATGCTACGGGTAAGGTTTGGCGAACACAGAAGAGCATTCTACAAGATCATCAGTGGGCAAAAGGTTGACACGGATGATGACTCAAACTGTGTAGGACTCCACCTCCATATAGAGCATGGATTGTCTCAGAAGGAAAATTTTAACAATAGTGTTTCAGTGTGTATCCTAGAAAATTCAAGTCCTAGTAGTTTAGATGTAAAGGAGCACCGATATATACATGCCTTAAAGTCCCTTCGCCCCTCAGGAATGAATAGTACAAACCCTTTCAAGATTCCTTTACCTCATAATTAATTTTTATTTTGTCCGAGGGGCTTTCTATAAATTATTTTTTTAAAATACTTGGTCCATTTATTGATGTTTCATTTTTCACAGCATTTTCCTTTTAAGAGTTTGAGTTTATATTTAGAAACTAACCATACTATCTTTTAGATTTATGTCACTTATGATGGCTCCGGCTGAAAGTACTATGACTCATTTTATTTAAAAGATCGTAGTTTCATTGCTTCTGAAGTAGCTATCAGTTCGCCGGTCATTGTTGGGTATAATACTCACACTGATCATGTATACATATTTTAACATTTTTACTGCTTAACGACTGCTTTTCTTACTTACTGTATAAAAAATGGATTTAAAAATCATTTGCTGAAATGAAAAACGTCAAAAAATGAAAAAAGTTCGGATTTTTGATGGTTTTGAATGCCTTCTAGCGTTCATATTAATGTCCGTTCATAATTATGTCCGATCATTTAATGTTCGTCCAAATAAGGTCTGATAAGGTATGTGAATACTCTATTTTTAATAACCAAGTGGGATGCTCGGTTCACGCAGGTAATTTTCACTAGGAGTACCAGGAAGAAACATTATTATATAGGACTCACACAATTTAGTACACTGATATTCGCAGAAAAGAATTGGACAATTTTCGTTAATCACAATGCTGGCAAGCATAACCGTTGCCCTTATATTCACAACACTATGTACCCCCTATACTATTATATCCCCTTTATTGTTTTCCAGGCATTAAGACTCATCGAAAGTAGTTCAGCAGGTATATTTAAGTTCAAAACATTCTAATTCGATGTTAAAGATGACAGGAATAAAAAATAGTTATGTGGAGGTTTTTAAGAAATTTGCGCAAAATACGCGCCAGCATGTTATACGAAATTAGGTAAAAAACCCAAAATCGCCATATTCAGGTGCCTTAAAAACCATGTTAAAATCGAGTTAGAGATCTGAAACTTTGCAGAGCGTCTAGACCTTGTCCAAATCGACTGTAAAAAAAATTTCATGTTGCAGGAGTATCGGGAAGTGGGTTTTCTGGAACCCCTGTTTTACAACAGATTGTCGTGAAGCTATATATGTATATATATAAGTATA